CGAGCCGCATGCATCGGCTCTGGTGTGCGGCCCCGCGGCAGCGGGGAACATGCCGGAGGAGCAGGTTCCGGCAGGTGGTGCGGCGGCATCGGCATCCGCCGTGCCGGCCCCTGCTATACCTGTCTCGCAGGAGGAGGATGTGAAGCCCGTGCCGCTTCAATCGGCGCGGGTGACTGCCACGACGGACGGTGAGTTCCCTGGGTTCGTTCAGACTGTCAACCACGCCGCCATCGCGCCGGTTGACCTCACCGGCTACGACACCGACGACTACGAGGACTTTGCCGACGGCAGCTTCCGGCTGAAGCCGCGGGGTTCGCCTCCGTCGGCCAATCATGTTTCCGGGCCGCCCGTGGACGAGCAGAGGACCTACGGTTGTGGGAAGCCGCCCTGGGGCTTTCCTGCCACGGTTGGGCCGTGGGGCATTCCTTTCCTCCTTTCCCTCGTTCTTTGCATCTCGATCATGGGGGTGGCAGCTGTGCCCGATGCTCAGTCGGCTGCGGGATTGCCTTCGCCTGGTGGTGATCTCGATTGGGAGACTCCGTCAATTTTCTCCACGAATGAATTTGTTGAATCAGTGATCCCGGCTCAGGGTTTCTTTGTGGCTGACAATGTGCCACCGCTTGAGCCGCCTGAACCCCCTGACATCTTTCAGGATCTTACTCAGGCAGACTTGAGCTTCGACATGGCCTTCTTCTACGGTGTGGCTCTACATGAGAGAGGTCCTTTCGGGAACCCTCCCTTCGGGTCCGACTTGATTGAGACCACAGCTGGCTACTTTGGTGCTGTTGATTGACTTCTTGTTCACTCTTGTTCACTCTGGATGCACACCGACATGGTGGTGTGCGGAACTCCGGTGACTTCAACAACTTTTCTGGTTTATGTTTTGCTTTTGACATCTACAAGTTACATTCTGGCTTGCTAGCTCGGTGCCTTTCAATTGTTTAGCGGGTGCACAATGCCCGTAGGTTTCTGCACCTGTGCTAGCTAGAGGGTTTCCAATTTGTGTTTCAGAATTGCACAGTTGGATTAGCAGTTAGGTCTGTCAACCTGGCTCCCGCCCTAACTTATCTTACATTATCTAACTCTCCTAGACAGTCACCACCCACAGTGCTGGGGTGGTGTGCTGAAATCTGTATAGGCAGCCCTGACTGGGAGTCCCGGTCAGGCCCCTATGACAGACTCCTAGGACCAACACTGGACTGATGACTGATCTATAGGTTCGTGCTGTGACACACGCTGTGTCACAGGTAGGCTAGATTCCGAAACCGTCCGAGACCGTTCCGGGTATATCTAGCTTAGGGTTTATTTATCTTATGAGTTTATCCACACAGTTCGGGAGTTTCTGATATCTAGTGAACTAGGATATTCCAGTACCCCTTATTCTATTATATGACGGTCCGCGGCGTACGGTCAATAGACATAGCATACGAAGTTGTGACCGACCGTCCGTCCGACCGTCCGACCGTCCGACCCGCGTCCGACCGTCCGACCGGGGTTTATAGTAGGTTTAGGTATGATATTTTCTCCCGGTTCATCCGTAGAAAGGCAACTTGAGAACTCAGATACGATAATATGCTCGATGGATATAGCGCTTGGGTATCTATCGACCACTGTACTGTTACGTAAGCGCGGTCACAACGAGCGAGCTAAAGGAAACGATGTGTGTATCGCGGCGCAAAGAGCGCGGGTGGTGGAAGGCATCGAACCTCCGGGGCCGCGCGCTCTCCGTGCCTGGCGGGGCGCGGAGCACATTCACACTCGCTGCCCCATGACGCGGCATCATCGTTGTGCTACCGTGCTCGGATCCGCATAACGTGTGTGGTGCGCGACGGGTGGTCCGCGTCACTCCCTTAAGGTGGTGAGCACCTCGATGGCAATAAGATGAAACGTTCAGTGGGTAGGGATTCTCAAGGGCTCAAGGTCTCAAGCAGCTCAAGTAGTCAAGTAGACTAGTGACACTACGATGCCGGTGTCACCCCCTTGGTTCTCCAACCGTTGTGGTGCACGTGTCATTGTGACGGGAAGACTGCGGGAAGCGATTGTTTCGTTTCTCGTTTCGGATTAGATACATTGATCAAACTCACGTTACACCCCGGCATCCCGCTAGCGGAGTTGCTTTGTTTTGTGGCGACCGCATCCCGTCGTCGCGATATGCGCGCGCGGATGCATTATGCGGCACCGTGGCAATGGCATTGCACTCAACCATCTCAGCACGCACGAACGCGAACACGGGCCCGCACACTCTCGGACTCCGAATTTGCGAATTTCACGACTTGGTCACCAATTCATAGGAACTAGTGTGTATGCAACATCGCAAATGCTAGGGGACAGCCGCCCCCGCCAGGGATGTCGCTGGGCTTCGTTCCTTGGGTTGAAGGGGTGACAGGAGACCAGAGGTTCCTGACCAGAAATTCACCACCTCGTGAGAGTGTGGTGGGGATTGGATATAGTTTTCAACCAGCAATTGACGCGTCTCGGTTACACCTCATAAACTGCGTCATTGCCCCAAGCGCAAAGACGAGGAGCTGGCGACGTCATCCGGACTTATTTCCCCATGGGATGCGTCACTCTTATGGGAGGCCGACTGACCCTCGCTGGGTCCAGGATGGATGCACAGCATCGATCACCGGGCTCCTCGGGTGTGAGCAACACGAAATGCGTGGGGATGGGTGGGGATGGTGAAATGTTGTTCTTTGGCTTAAGGTGACGTGTTCTCGCGAAGAGACACAAAAATTGGATCAGACGGCTGTGTGTGAACCACGCTCGGTAAACTTTAGTAAAAGGCGAAAGTTTAATACGCCAGAAGAGTGGATCACGCCGTTGGTCTGAAGGGCTAGGCTAGGTCAACTTATGCGTCCACGAAAAAGGCGTGCGTTATGGGAGGACACCCAAATCGGTTGATGCGGGGACCGACTCGCACAATGTTCATACATATTAGCGCTTAGCTCAGGAGGGGCAAGCCTCCTGGGGTGGTGTGTCCGCTGCCACACGCCGCGACGCACCCACGATGAGGGAGGGAAGGGCTCGCCACATGCTTCTCCACTTGGTTTCTCTTGGTGGCGAGGCGCGCGAACGCGACACTCAGCCCTCACAGAATCCGGTTCTGTAACCCAGTGGGCACAAATACCGATCGCCACCCGCGAAGTGCAATGCGAGCAGCTCTCGATAGGCCTCCACCCTTATTGATCGGCAGATGACCCCCAGCAGGTAAGTATGCCTTCCCACCCCAACCCACATGGCTTTATCTCGGTTCACGTCCCGGACGCCTTATGGGAGCAGGTTTGTAGGTGTACATGTGAGTATACCGTACGGTATTATATTTATTGTTTATTCGGGCCATGGCCATGGCCCTATCGCATCGCAAGCCAACAGTTGTCGCAGTTGTCATCACGAGATTCCACAGCTACCATCACTCAGCCCGCACCCTTCTCGGATGGGAAAGGGCGGGGTGGCGGGGTGGGGGGCACTAGAGAAGGGCCGTCTGGTGTGAAGCCGAATGTCGCTCTTGGTTTAGCAGGGTGTGGGCTGCACGCAGGTGGAGGTAGTGCAATACCACGAGCATGCTGGTCGGCCAGCGGTGCAAGCACAGCTATGCGGCACAACCGCCCAGAAAAATTAATTTAATATCATAGGGGTCAATGACCCCTGTATCAGATATTAAACTGATAAGAACAGATACTACACTTGATCTTAGCCAAAAGGCCGAGAAAGGTATGAAGTCCTAGCCATCGCCATGCCATCTTATACCGTTTCTCCCGCCCCTCACTTATGGGAGGCGAGCAAACGAATGTCCCCAGCTCTCCACCGCACTCGCATCGCACTCGCTGACGATGACCGATGTCGATGGTCTCGTGTCGATGTGCCTGTCGCTGTTGGACTCTCTTGCTAATCTTTGCTCTCATCGGTCATCACTGCCATGACAGCAATGCTGAATTCTGTCACTACCTCGCGACGGCATCGTCACTACGTCGTCGGCGTGGCCATGCGATGGCCTTGCCATATAATTATGAGAGGCACAGTATCGCGAGTACTCTACTGGTAGTTACGGTGTTGGGTGACACCACGACAGCGACACTGCAGACTCGAGACTGCGTTGCCTCGTGTTTGGCGCGCCCCGCCCGATCGCTCGGACGGAATAAGTATCCCCCAAGGGCAAGGCCAGCATGCGTGACGGCGATCAAACGGGGCGGCTCCCATAAGCAGCGTGGTGCGCTGGGTTTCCAAGTATATGTACATGCAGCAATTCCTCCCGAGAGCATGCGCCCCGGGGGCCCGACGGAATTGGTAGGGTCCAATCTAATGCGAGTGTATCTCTTTTGGTCCCACCCAACGCCCCCTCACCTCACTCTCGCTGTAATTGAGGCCGGGAGGGGGGGGTTCCACACGCCGACGCACCCCTGCCACGATCCAGGCCTGGCGTGGGATCTTCACCCCCATTCGAAGGCGGTGGCCCCGCATACCCTCCATGTACCTTGTCCTATGCCAAGTTGGTAGTGTTTGCAACGAGGCGCTACTTCGCATTTGATGTCCTTGGTTTAGGTGAAAATATGATCCGCCTCAGACAGTACTAGCAATTAGCATGCATATGGGTGAGGTCCCAAAATGAGACCCCGGCATGTTGGGTTGGTGTCCTCACAGAACGGATAGTATATAAGTATGTAATTGCAGTCTTTGGTTATACAAAGACATCTTGCAATGCCGATGTCAACCATATTTATGCAAGCCCGCCCGACGTCTGCCTTATGGGAGCAGGCACCGATCGCGCTCCGCACGGCGTCGAACATGTACGGTATGCGTAGTTCTACTACTACAGTAGTCTACGTTGGACGCACGCTTGCCCGGCCAATCGAAACGGACCTCTCGAACACATCGCGGTGTTCGCGATCAGTTCTCACGAGGAAAAGGGAGTGTCGGATGACATCAAAGAGTCCACGCCCGGATTCGAACCAGGGACCTATCGATCTGCAGTCGATTGCTCTACCACTGAGCTACATAGACACCGCCGCATCTGGGAATCGAACTCGGGTCTCCTGAGTGACAGTCAGGGATACTAACCACTATACTAATGCGACATGTGTTCCAGAACCGACCCGATGACCCCTTATTCTATTATATGACGGTCCGCGGCGTACGGTCAATAGACATAGCATACGAAGTTGTGACCGACCGTCCGTCCGACCGTCCGACCGTCCGACCCGCGTCCGACCGTCCGACCGGGGTTTATAGTAGGTTTAGGTATGATATTTTCTCCCGGTTCATCCGTAGAAAGGCAACTTGAGAACTCAGATACGATAATATGCTCGATGGATATAGCGCTTGGGTATCTATCGACCACTGTACTGTTACGTAAGCGCGGTCACAACGAGCGAGCTAAAGGAAACGATGTGTGTATCGCGGCGCAAAGAGCGCGGGTGGTGGAAGGCATCGAACCTCCGGGGCCGCGCGCTCTCCGTGCCTGGCGGGGCGCGGAGCACATTCACACTCGCTGCCCCATGACGCGGCATCATCGTTGTGCTACCGTGCTCGGATCCGCATAACGTGTGTGGTGCGCGACGGGTGGTCCGCGTCACTCCCTTAAGGTGGTGAGCACCTCGATGGCAATAAGATGAAACGTTCAGTGGGTAGGGATTCTCAAGGGCTCAAGGTCTCAAGCAGCTCAAGTAGTCAAGTAGACTAGTGACACTACGATGCCGGTGTCACCCCCTTGGTTCTCCAACCGTTGTGGTGCACGTGTCATTGTGACGGGAAGACTGCGGGAAGCGATTGTTTCGTTTCTCGTTTCGGATTAGATACATTGATCAAACTCACGTTACACCCCGGCATCCCGCTAGCGGAGTTGCTTTGTTTTGTGGCGACCGCATCCCGTCGTCGCGATATGCGCGCGCGGATGCATTATGCGGCACCGTGGCAATGGCATTGCACTCAACCATCTCAGCACGCACGAACGCCAACACGGGCCCGCACACTCTCGGACTCCGAATTTGCGAATTTCACGACTTGGTCACCAATTCATAGGAACTAGTGTGTATGCAACATCGCAAATGCTAGGGGACAGCCGCCCCCGCCAGGGATGTCGCTGGGCTTCGTTCCTTGGGTTGAAGGGGTGACAGGAGACCAGAGGTTCCTGACCAGAAATTCACCACCTCGTGAGAGTGTGGTGGGGATTGGATATAGTTTTCAACCAGCAATTGACGCGTCTCGGTTACACCTCATAAACTGCGTCATTGCCCCAAGCGCAAAGATGAGGAGCTGGCGACGTCATCCGGACTTATTTCCCCATGGGATGCGTCACTCTTATGGGAGGCCGACTGACCCTCGCTGGGTCCAGGATGGATGCACAGCATCGATCACCGGGCTCCTCGGGTGTTAGCAACACGAAATGCGTGGGGATGGGTGGGGATGGTGAAATGTTGTTCTTTGGCTTAAGGTGACGTGTTCTCGCGAAGAGACACAAAAATTGGATCAGACGGCTGTGTGTGAACCACGCTCGGTAAACTTTAGTAAAAGGCGAAAGTTTAATACGCCAGAAGAGTGGATCACGCCGTTGGTCTGCAGGGCTAGGCTAGGTCAACTTATGCGTCCACGAAAAAGGCGTGCGTTATGGGAGGACACCCAAATCGGTTGATGCGGGGACCGACTCGCACAATGTTCATACATATTAGCGCTTAGCTCAGGAGGGGCAAGCCTCCTGGGGTGGTGTGTCCGCTGCCACACGCCGCGACGCACCCACGATGAGGGAGGGAAGGGCTCGCCACATGCTTCTCCACTTGGTTTCTCTTGGTGGCGAGGCGCGCGAACGCGACACTCAGCCCTCACAGAAATTATCCGGTTCTGTAACCCAGTGGGCACAAATACCGATCGCCACCCGCGAAGTGCAATGCGAGCAGCTCTCGATAGGCCTCCACCCTTATTGATCGGCAGATGACCCCCAGCAGGTAAGTATGCCTTCCCACCCCAACCCACCTGGCTTTATCTCGGTTCACGTCCCGGACGCCTTATGGGAGCAGGTTTGTAGGTGTACATGTGAGTATACCGTACGGTATTATATTTATTGTTTATTCGGGCCATGGCCATGGCCATGGCCCTATATCGCATCGCAAGCCAACAGTTGTCGCAGTTGTCATCACGAGATTCCACAGCTACCATCACTCAGCCCGCACCCTTCTCGGATGGGAAAGGGCGGGGTGGCGGGGTGGGGGGCACTAGAGAAGGGCCGTCTGGTGTGAAGCCGAATGTCGCTCTTGGTTTGGCAGGGTGTGGGCTGCACGCAGGTGGAGGTAGTGCAATACCACGAGCATGCTGGTCGGCCAGCGGTGCAAGCACAGCTATACGGCACAACCGCCCAGAAAAATTAATTTAATATCATAGGGGTCAATGACCCCTGTATCAGATATTAAACTGATAAGAACAGATACTACACTTGATCTTAGCCAAAAGGCCGAGAAAGGTATGAAGTCCTAGCCATCGCCATGCCATCTTATACCGTTTCTCCCGCCCCTCACTTATGGGAGGCGAGCAAACGAATGTCCCCAGCTCTCCACCGCACTCGCATCGCACTCGCTGACGATGACCGATGTCGATGGTCTCGTGTCGATGTGCCTGTCGCTGTTGGACTCTCTTGCTAATCTTTGCTCTCATCGGTCATCACTGCCATGACAGCAATGCTGAATTCTGTCACTACCTCGCGACGGCATCGTCACTACGTCGTCGGCGTGGCCATGCGATGGCCTTGCCATATTGGGGAAAAATCTTTAGATTGTCCCCCTCTTTGAAAAATCCGGTTTTTTATGTCACGCTTTTGTGTATTGGGGAAAAATCTTTAGATTGTCCCCCTCTTTGAAAAATCCGGTTTTTTATGTCACGCTTTTGTGTATAAATTTTTAAAGGTTCATTTCGCCGAAAACCAGCTATTCCAAAACGAACACTGCTTTGTGTCACGCTTTTCGAGCGCTTTTCACGCTTTTCGAGCGAGACGCTTTTCGAGCGAGACGCGTTACACCCACTCAATTTAACCCCTGTTACGCACTTTAGCGTCGTAGATGAAAACTGCGAAACGATTCGTGTGTCGTGGATAAGTATGGGTCGCACGCGGCAGTATATAATTTGATATTTAGAATATTCAATACAAAGCCTCTTTATATTTAATTGGTCAATATAATTATAATATATATATTTTTAATTTTATTGGAATTGCACAGTGTCACGACTGTTGATTATAAATATAACTTAGCACTGTATAACTTAACACTCTAGTATTATTTTTAATATGACTTATTTAATTTTAAAATAAGACGAAGACTTTATTGACGGTATAAATATTTGGATGTGGTCGACTGGACATTGACAAATAAGACGTTAGACGTATGACATGACATGAGACGCAGTCTGTAAAGCGTAAAGCTTCGAGAATGAAAGTTGATGACAATGTCATGAACGTCAGCTGTACAGTATGGGCTGGTCGAGCCCGTATCGCGATGAAAATCAAGCTGCTTCTCACATTTTTGGGGGGTGTGGGGACTCCCCACTCGGGTGTGGGGTGGCCGTGACCCGTAGGGAATCGACCATTAACGTCAACTGGATGGGCTGGCCGAACTCCGTTGGAAATAAGCTGCTTCTCACATTTTTTGGGGGGTGTGGGGAGAACCCACCCCACAGGGGTGGCCGTGACCCGTAGGGGAATCGACGGCTTATTATACCCTCCCGTCTCCGACGGAGGGCCCATGCGGCGTTTAATGTGTCGTGGTCGTTGTCACACTTTTGTGATCAGGTAGGTGGTCGCCAGGTTTTACGACATGTGACGCAGTCCGCAAAGCTCCCAGAATGAAAGTTGGTGACAGTGTCATGAGCGTTGGGAATTATACACAGGAGCTCGCAGAGCTCGAGCTCCCAGAGTGCAAGTTGGTGACAGTCTGACAGAGTGCAAGTTGGTGACAGTCTGACAGAGTGCAAGTTGGTGACAGTCTGAGACAGTGCAGTGCCAGTGCAGTGCAGTGTCACAGGACACGGTGACGATGACGCCCGCAAAGCGTTGTCGTTGTCGATGTCGTCGACACGTTGTGTTCAGATAGGTGTTCGCCAAGTTTCACGACATGTGACGCAGTCTGCAAAGCTCCTAGAGTGCTAGTTGATGACACAGTCACCCAAAAAGAAAGTGTACTAACGGGGGGGTGTGGGGGGCGGAGCCCCCCACTTTCAAACTCAGTCTGGAAAAAAGTGTACTAACGGGGGGTGTGGGGGGCGGAGCCTAAACTCAGACTGGAAAAAAAAATTGTACTTTCGGGGGTGTGGGGGGCGGAGCCCCATAGGACGACTGGAAAAAAAAAAGGAGTGTACTTTCGGGGGTGTGGGGGGGCGGAGCCCCCCCACTGGGCTCAGTCTGGAAAAAAAAAGTGTACTTTCGGGGGGGTGTGGGGGCGCGGAGCCCCCCCACTGGGCTCAGACTGCAAAAACGGACATAAATTGCAAAAACGGTCACGATTCTGCAAAAGCCGACACTGGCGCGTCAGACGAAATATGATATTTGCTTGACTTGTGTAGACATGGGGCCACCACCGTTAAGCACTGTACAAAACGACATAAACTGCACAGAACGACAGAATTCTGTAAAAAAAACCACTGGCGCGTCAGACGGAAGTGAACGAGTCATTCAACGATGAAGACGGACAGGTTTGGCGGCCCGTCACAACCGCTGTGGTCAACGTTCCTCGGAATTCATGGTCACGAATTTCAGATTCATGGTCATGAATTCTAAATTCATGGTCATGAATTTCTGATTCATGGTCGCGAATTTTTAGCTTTCGCGAATACTGCACGTCGGATCAACTTTACATTCGAGCGACACTGACCCAGAATCCCAGATTCGATCGCCGTCCCACGCAGAAATCGAACTTATCGCGAAATGTGTCCGGTCCCATTTAGGCAACCTGTAACTTTAGGCAACCTTTAACGAACTGCTTGCTGGCTGCTGTTTTTTTCAATATAATATATCGACGTCGTAGTCGATAATATTCGTATTTTTGTAGTCGTTTTCCGTCCTTCCCGCCGTCCGTCCGTCCCTCCGTATATAAATATG